TTGCACTTTCCCAACCACTTTAAATGTCTAATTATGCTGTATATTAAGGCAGGTTCAGTTGTTGAGAAGAAGCTAAGACTAGGTACAAAATGAGCACCCACTGTGCCGCTTGTAAGCCAGGGCTGGTCAGTAACACTGAAGATGCTCAATCGTATCCGTCTCCTCCTCTTCAACGCAGAGTCTACAACAGTAATCAATTGCATTAAGATCCCATTTACTAGTAAAGGCCCTGATATTGCAGTGACCAGTAGTGATTCCTGTCATTACTCTTGTTTCAGACAGAGTCGGCTAAATGGACCTTGTCACGTTGCACATAGGTTCGTTGTGCCAAAGTTCATAGAAGAACGCCTCGAAGTTCCGGTAAAGATGACATATGGGTAGTTTGATTGAGTCATCAACTGCTAGATCTGTGGATTGAGATCCTCGTCTAGCTAATTCGTCTGCTCTTTCAATACCCAAGATGTCACAGTGTCCTGGCAACCAACACAGCCGATAACTTTAAGTACACTTGAGGACGGCCTCAGATTTGATATAACAAGATTTGATTGATTTAAGGGAACCCCCCCACAGTGGGAAAAAATACCGATCTAGCGCGCAGAAAATCAAAAAATGAAGTTGAAGGAAACTTTAAAACATTAATGCAGTTTTAAAGTAGAGTGTTGAGAGTACTTAAGTCCGTATAAAATAATCCGAATTAATAAGCTAGAACGGAATAACGGTACATTTAAAACAGAAAATTTTTCCAATGTTAAAAATGGCATTTTTTTGCTATAAAATTGCGATGGTCGTGTGCATTCTGTGAATATATTATTAAAAAATTTTGTCCATTTTTGATATATAGTATTGGTATTTAATTAAATGGAATAGTTATATAACCCATAAGTTATTTTAATTTAGGTGTTTCGGGCTAAATATATATAAGGTCCGTTTTTTTAATTCGTTGAATTAAAATAGGGGTTTAGTATGGAGTGCAGACGAGTTCAGCGTTGTTATTTTATTTTATTTTTATTTTTTTTTTTGTGTCTGTATAGAAAATTATACTAAATGTTTTCCTGCGACTTCTTGCGACTCTCGGATTTATGGCAAGTTTTTAAAAAAATGCAAATTTGGTGTAGAGCTTTTTTAAGGTTTTGTTCAAATAAAATTAAAAATTTGTGAATTTTTTTGATATAATTCATCAAATATGACTTGGAATATATAATAGCAGATAAGAAAAAAAAAAACAAGTTCAAAATGTCCATCCTAAGGTTCCAGAGTACTGGGTGTGAGTATGAAAATGAGGGTATTTAAGTAAGCTGCTCCAAACGTTGATTTTAAACTCATGCACTGAATATACATTTATTCCAAATGTCTTTCTAAATAAAAATTGAAATTACAACGAAATCGGTTGTAAGAGTCTTCTAAAATACCGCAGGTAAAGGGTCCACTTTATGAACCCTGGAAAATATCATTGGTGTAACATTCATATATACACGGTTTTACCTACATTTATGGTTTTCGCTATAAGCACATAACACCAAAAGTAATGAATGATTACAACAAAATTTCGTCACTAACACCAAACATCAACTTATACGAATACGGCCTGTCTACCTTACATGCAAGGATTCGATGTTTAGAATGTATATTGCACATTTCATACCGACTGGTTTTGAAAAAGTGGAAAATTAATAGCTCCGATCGGCCACTTTTCGAAGAAAGGAAGGCACGTATCATTAATGATTTGAAGGAAGAAATGCACATTATTGTTGACACACCTAAGTCAGTATCCGGAACAACAAACGATGGCAATACTGCTAGGCGTTTTTTAGCCAACCTGGCTTGGCATCGTCGATAACTGGTGTTGATGAAAAATTAATTAAAAATTTTAGTATCATCCTTTCAACCATGGCCTGTGGATATGCTATTAACGCAGAGTCTTTTAAAAAACTTACTGAGGAAACATTTATTCTTTTCGTGGAATTATATTCTTGGTTCTATATGCCTTCAAGCATACACAAAATATTAGTGCATGGAGCTGATATAATTAAATGTGCAGCTTTGCCCATAGGAATGTTGTCTGAAGAAGCCATGGAATCCAGAAATAAGGACTTTCGGAACTACAGGGAACTGTACACCAGAAAAATTAGTCGTGAGGAAACAATGAGGGATCTTTTCAATAGGTTGCTATTTTCTTCTGATCCAAAAATATCAAGTTTGTCTCGTAGTACATCTCTTAACCATCGATATAGTGAGCCACTATCTGAAGAAGTCCTTAAACTACTGGAGGATCCAATGCTACCAACTAATTCAGATCAAAACTCGGATTCTGAATGTGATTAGTATTTAATAAGTAACGCCTAAATTTTGTAAAATATATATAGTTTAATGTTTTAGATATGTAATATTAACAATAATAAAGATATATATAATAACAATAGTGTTTGCCCTTAACCCACTTTTTACCCTCCAAATGTTTCGGAATATTTAAAAGAAGCTTCCATTTTAGGAGTACTATTAGTTATAACGAAAAATGTTGCTTATTATAAAATATTTCAATTGCTTCAAAATAGTAATTTTCACCTAAAAATTTAAGTTTTTTCTAAAAAAAATCAGCGCTTAATGGGTTACTAAAAAAAATTGCCAAATTTTTTCATAAAATAATTAAAATTGTCCATTTTAATCTATTCTTATCCAAAATATCGATAAACATACAGTAAAACATCTACTTTTATTTTCTTGAGAGAAAACTGGTAAAGTTTGAGAAGCCCTTTAGTCGTCACTTGATGCTAACACAATAAATCGGCTATATCTTTAAGAGTTCTTGAGATTTTCACTTGAAATTTTGTAGAGACATTCTAGAATTAGAGTAGATTCGAATTAAATCAAAAAAATTTTTGACACCGAGAATGGGGGGGGTCCCCTTAAGTGTCACTTGACTATCCACGAAGATAGTCACCGGTAGGTTAGCTCAAGGCCTAGCCTTTCACAGTAGACGCCAGCCACTGTACCTTCTTCCATCTTGGATCCGTATGTATAGAAAGCCAAAGTAAGCTTGCCTTAGTGTTATTGCTTAGTTGAATAATAAGAATATTATGACAAATTTATTTTCTAAATGAAATTTTGGAAATATTTCGATCTTGGAGTCCTGCAGTAAAATCGAAATTTCTTTGTATTTCTCTTAATCCTCTTTAGCAACTGGATGTGAAGAAATAAATCATTGCAGAATCGAACTGCAGGAGGTTGGTGGAGGCCGAGAATCACTTATTCAGTATAATTTGTTGTTCAAATTTACAGCTAAAACATGATCTGTCGTCATTCCATTATTTAATGTAATATTCATAGTATACACCTTTTTCACATGTTATTCAAAGCTTATCAAATGTAATTCATAACATATCAGTTGTAATTCGAGAATGTAATTGGTAATATTCAACATTTCATTTGTAATTTTCGAATTGCAATAGAAATGTTCTGAATAACATTCGAAAAAGGTGTAGTCCCCTGCATGATAGATTGCTAATTATGTTAAAGTTAGGATTTGTAAATGAAGAAATTAGTATATCAAAAAATAGGAAACTTCTATCCCAAAATAGTCCATAATTACAATTTGAGCATCCTTCCCCTTCTCCACATTGTTGTTTGTAGGGTATTATTATTATGAACATTATGTGGCGGAGAGTAACATTGCATTAAAGTTTCAAACTTGTTGCATACCAAAATGTTGTAAACCATCACAGCTGTTTTTTTTTAACATTCACCTGTTGTTGTTGTTGTTGCTGTTGTGTATTTATTTATATTGCTAAATATTTCTCAAATGTTGTATTTCACTTCTACACAACAATTGTTTTACTTTTATTTTTAGTCAAATGACCTTAATACTACGATTGCTAGTAAGCCAGCCAGCCTGCCTACCTGCCCAGTATGGTAGTTGAAACTCAACTTTTTTTAATAAAAAAAAACTAATTGTTGTTTTTGTTTGTTTAATTGTTGTTAAGAGGTAAATTGTGTATTACGGTTAATTTATGTTTATGTTAAATTAGAGAACAACAATGAAAATTTGTTAAAAAAAAAACATTTTGTTCGAAAAAAAAAAATCATATTGGGGTTTGTAGGTTTGTTTTTATTCATTTATTTTTTTATTTTTAGTTCAAAAATCTATTTTTAGATTAGCAGTTTTGTTGTGGTAAAGTGATTTTTAAAGTTATATTTCCTGTTTCTAAATTAGATGGTGTCTTAGAATCAATTTGCTTGGTGTTTCTGAAATCTTTACAATGTAAAATGTTATTTAAAATACTTCGTGAAATTATATCTGACGTCCTTGGGAGGACTTTTGCTAGTACCAGTACATGGCAACCTTATATGTGATATTCCTGTTTTTTCCTCAGGGATATCTGCATAGTTTTTAATACGAATAATATTTTTAATACGAATATAATAAGTTTGAATATAAAATAAAATGATATTACCCATTAATTATCCTGCAAGAATGGTTTCCGATTTTCCCTTTATAAATTTGAAAAATTTATTGACATTTAACTAATGCTTTAATCATTATTTTCTATTACAGATAATTATAAGCAAAGGATAAAACAACACACTACAAAATAAGAAGAAGAAGAAGGAAACAACACTAAACATTTGAATTACTAGTATAAACCGTTCCGCCGCCAGCCCAGCTTCACAAAAGAAAACACACCGCCGCATTAAAAGAATAGAGAGAAGAAGAAACATACATTTAACTAACAAACAACAAAAAGTTGTTACAAAAAAGAAAATAAACAAATATATGAAGTTTAAATTTGGACGCCAAGTGAAATAAACAAGGGTATGCAAATATATTTATTTTCAAATTTATTGACCAATTTATTGACCATTTTTTATTTACTATTTGCAGAAACATCTACACAACAAAAAAGGGGCGACTTTGGCCATTTAATTTTTTATTTTTTTTTTTCATTTGAAAAAAACCCTTTCACATAAATCATAACCTAAACGAAACCCGCGGCTCCTATCATCACACAAATACCTAACCTACACACTCAAACTCACACACACAGACAACACAATGGAGTTACGTGTTGGCAATAAATATCGTCTTGGACGCAAAATTGGTTCCGGTTCATTTGGTGATATCTATTTGGGCACAACAATCAACACAGGCGAAGAAGTTGCCATCAAATTAGAATGTATACGCACCAAACATCCACAGCTACACATTGAATCGAAATTCTACAAAATAATGCGTGGCGGCATCGGTATACCGCGCATTATCTGGTGTGGCAGCGAGGGTGATTACAATGTCATGGTCATGGAACTGCTCGGCCCCTCACTCGAAGATCTATTCAATTTCTGCAATCGCCGTTTTACACTGAAGACCGTTCTACTGCTGGCCGATCAAATGATATCACGTATCGATTTTATACACTCACGTGATTTTATACATCGAGACATCAAACCAGACAATTTCCTCATGGGCTTGGGAAAGAAGGGCAATCTGGTGTATATAATCGATTTCGGTTTGGCGAAAAAGTTCCGGGATTCCAGATCGATGAAACACATACCGTATCGGGAAAACAAAAATCTGACGGGCACAGCACGTTATGCCTCCATCAACACACATTTAGGTATCGAACAGTCAAGGCGTGACGATTTAGAGTCGCTGGGCTATGTGCTGATGTATTTCAATTTGGGCGCCCTACCGTGGCAGGGACTGAAGGCGGCCAACAAACGACAGAAATACGAACGTATTTCCGAAAAGAAACTCTCAACCACCATAGTGTCCCTGTGTAAAGGCTTCCCTAGTGAGTTTATCAACTATTTGAACTACTGCCGGCAATTGCATTTCGAACAGCGTCCCGACTACTGTTATCTACGCAAAATGTTCCGCAATCTGTTTCATCGTTTGGGCTTCACGTACGACTATGTGTTCGACTGGAACCTCTTGAAATTCGGCGGTCCCAGAAATCCACAGGCCTTGCAACAGGCCCAAGATGGCAATGGTCAAACAGCAGCCCAGGAGGGCAACGGTCCACAGACACAGCAGCAACAACAAACGGCTGCTCAGCAACAACATCAACACAATCAAAATCAAATCGCCAGTGCTGTGGCCACAGTGGGGGGTAGTGCCACCCAACAGCTGTTGAGCACCGGAGGCGCTGGCGGTCAAACACTGGTGAGCAGTAGCGGCGGTGGCATAATGGGTGCAGGCTCCCAAATGCTGGTAGGTGGCGGTGGAAACGGTGGTCTCACAATGGATGATTCAATGGCAGCCACAAATTCGTCGCGCCCTCCCTACGATACACCTGAACGTCGTCCCTCGATTCGCATGCGCCCTGGCGGTGTTGTACAACCGGGTGGCGTGGTAGCCGATATACGAAATGCAAAATAATATCTTATCTTTTAGATTTCTATCACAACAACAAATCTATCTATAATATTTTAATATTATATGTCGTTTATCTATCCTCTATACTTGCGCGTCTCTAAATTTAGACACAACAACGTGGTGGCGGTGGCTCGGCGTGGCGATGACGACGACGAGGGCTACGGTAGCCGCCACTTTAGAGAACACAGTCAATCACTCACTCACACACCGAATCTAACGAGCAACAGCAGTGCGTGTGTGTGTGCCTGTCTGTCTGTTTGCCCGTCTGCCGACTGTTGTGAGCAAAAGTGTGGCTCCTATTTTTGTCCACCTCTCTATCCTGGCCGCCCCTCCTCAATTTAACCCTGCCCTTTGTATAACTCCCTCAGCCCCGCCACAAAATGAAAAACACACACAAACATACATACAACCAACCACACACACACATTTAGCTTGTAGTAAACTTGTATATTTTTAGATGTTTTTATTAATTTCATTATTAAAAGAACAACAACAAAAACAAAAAAGAAAACAAAACGTAATTTATAAGTTTTCCCCTTTTTTCTTAGAATTTAAAAAAGCGAAGGAAACAAAAAGAAAGAAGAGAGAAAAAAACAAAACAAATCATTTTCATAATATTATTCATAATATATAACAATAACTTTCATACAAAAAGAAAAACAAAAACAATTAAAACAAAGAAGAAGAATTAGTTTTGTGTTAAATTATTAATGGAAAAATGCAATTAGTTATTATCATTATTATATATTTTTTTTGCTTGAATAAAAGAAGAAGAATGAAACGAAAACTAAACAAAATGTAAAGTAAAACACATTTATGCGGGGACGGGGTGAGACTCCAGCAAAACTTGAAACATTTCTAACACTGACGCCAATTTCCAATTTATGGATTTATTAATAAATATAATATATTTTTAACAAAAAAACACATTTAAAGTAAATTTCAAGAAAGAAAAATCAAGTTTTGATATCTCTCTCTACCTCCCCAGCAGCTATAAAATTTAATACTGTATCCTTTGTTCGCAATTTTTTTCGTTTTTTTTATTTTTTATATATCTTTTTTCTCTCCCCTTTACCCTTAATATATATAAACCTAAATTATATGTAATTAAATGCTTTAATTTGAAATGAACAGAAATAAATCTTAAATTATAATAAATAAAAACAAAACAAACAAATAATATATACAACTCTTTTATATGATTATTGTAATTTTATACAAAATAAAAATGAAGTTTATCCTAAAACATAAATCGCAAAAGAAACAAAACATAATTCTCAATTTAAACCAATTTGTTTATATGCCAATTTTTCATTTTTTTTCTGTCTTGCTTATATGTGTAATTATTTCTTCAGTTCATAATAATGAAATTCATTTACTATAGTTTTCATTTCACACATTAAATGGAAGAGTGAAATTTAGGAGCAGAACATATTTTTTTAAATAACATTTAAGAGTTTTATTTTCCGTTTTAATTTAAATATACATAGGCTTAATAGAAAGAAAACTCTAATCCATTTTTCCGAATATTTTAATAAACATTTCTATATTAATGATTTCATTGGAGTTTGTTTAAACCAATTACAGTTGTCGATATAATATATTTGTTTTGGCAAATAACTTGCAGAAAATCTTTCTTAAACTATGACTCTATGATTTTCTTGTCAAATAAGGCCTGAAAGTAATAAAACCAATAAGTATATTGCTAGTTTTTAAAATTCCAAAAAATTTTGATAAAACCAGTTTGGTGTTTTTTTTAACTCACTTGGAGTCACCATCCTTCTCGTATAAGAAATAAATTGAATTTAGAAAAAGACAATTTATTTATTTCATTGCTGTTTCTTCTTCTAAACTCTCCCAGAATCATACCAAAATAATATTACAACAAAAATATTAGATTGTCTCTATATTCCCTCCTCGGCTTCGCGTATACGAAAATAGTCTAATATTAGATTTTCCAATCTGGAGGTAATATATTCCCAATTTCTCTAAATAGGACTTTTACAGCATGAATTCACTTTCCTATCAACTACTAGATTTTCAATTTGGATTTAAATATCTGATCCTGCAGTAATGTTTATCTCTAGTTTCTCAATATAGATAATAGAGAAGTATTCACCACGTGAGACTATCGACCTGTTGGATTTAGAGCTTTCATTTGCCATCGACTAATCTAATACTTTCCACCAGAATCTTTGCTAGAAAACGATAGGACGATTAAAAAGTTGATATAGGTTATGTATGGATATCATCCGGGTAGTAGAGATTCGTTGTTTCTGACTTTTCAAAAAGAGTTTAAACAACTCCGTTAAACTTTACAGAGTTTTTTCGTAGATCAAAGTGGACAGTAACTACTCCTTTAATACTTTATTCTGTAATAAATTAAATATGATTCACCTATGTCTGCAGGCTGTTGCAACTGTATTTGAGTAAAAACAAAATGCTCTGTTGCATCGAAAAGGAGAATGTTCGTAGATTTTTTAAAATTAGGATCTAAGATAAAACTTATAAAAAGAAATCGGGAATTAAAAAAAAATTAAAGTTGATCTAAAAACTGATGTAATAAGGTATTTCATTAGAAATGGTTTAAGTAAATATATTGGAATTTTGTAAAGTACTTAATTGACTCACTCTATGTATTTTGAAAAATGGAACGCATTTGAAAAAATCTTTAGTTCCGTCAAAATATCTCATCGTCTTTATGAAGTTGTGTGATAACATTTTTGCAATTAAATTATTCTCCGTATCCCTTTGTTATCTATCCATGGGTTGATAAAATTCTGACAACATTTTGCAAACCCGATTTTTGAATATTTCACAATAAAAATTTAAAAATGTCAAATTTGAATACAATACTTTGAATACTTATTTTTGTTTCCTAATCAAAATCTCAATTCACACTTCATGTCTCTATCTCCAGAAGAAAATCTAATGAGGGTATTCTATTTATAAAAGACCTTTATTGAAAGGCATTCGTATGTAGAAGAACTTTAGTTTTCCTTTTTGATAGATGATCTTGAATTTTGAATCTTTTATTTAATTCATTCTTCTCTTTTATCTATAGAATGCTTTTAAAAGGACTTTCTCCTATGAAGTGGCTTTCAAATCGAGAGAATTTGCATTGTAGTAGCCTCAGCGCTTTTGGCGTTTTTGTACAACGACGATATCTTGGTTATCGTTTTTACGCACTTGTGGATGAGAGGGAAAGTCGATATCCTTTGAATTCCAGAAGTTTTATTCGCAGTTTTTCAAATTTACAGTTGTCCAAATTTAGAATTGGTTTTATTTCGAAATAATTTCTAGATTGCTTTATTGGTTATCTTCTGTACCAGTGACAGTTTATTGAACTATTAAACGATGTCAACTTACTTCATTTCCGGGTGATGATATAAGACATAAAAGGGTTACATGGGATGGGAATTCTAATTTCTAATAGTTCCTTCAAATATGAAGTGATTTTCTGAAATTTTAAATACAGTTCTATATGCAATTAAAAAACACAGATATTACTGCGAGATCAGAACCTTTAAATCCAAATTGGATGATGAACTCACAATTTTTATCAAAATTCAGTTCTCTATGCAATTAAAAACACAAACTGACATTTCAATTACATCATGAATTTAAATTGATATAATCAACTGTCCAATTAAAGATTTTACGCTAATTGACACATAGAATGGGAATATTTTCGTTCTCTATTTCTGGAAATGCCAGTCCTCATACCATTGCTGTCGTCCATGTATAAGGCATTAAATTTATGCCAAACTTTGAATACTGATGAGCACAACATGAATGCCAGGTTATCAGATTGGATTATATCCTAAATCCTTATCAGAAGTTTAATTTTAAAAAATCATTGGCTTTTATTTGGCATATTTAAAAACACCCTTCTTCGTTGAAACAATCTTCCTTTACATTTCTAATAACAGAATTTTGATTATACCGTTCCACAGTAGTTCTATAAATAACGAGTTTTAAACACTTGTTTATATTTTTGCCTAACCATTTATTCCAATGTGGTTTTTTTATTAGCTCAGATTTCATTCATAACTCCAACAATAGCCGCAGACAAAAAGAAAGTTAAATTAACATAAAATAAACCACAACTATTTATTCATAAATACAAAAAGCAAAACAAACTAAAATAATATGGAAAACAGAAAAAATTTATAAATATAGTTTTTAGGCCTAACCTAACAAACAACAATTAAATCAAAATAATTACTAAAAAATAACAACAAGTAAAGTTTTAAATTCTCTATATATTTATTGTTTATATTTTTTTTTCGTTTTTTTTATATAAGAGTAATTTAAAGCCAAAATAATTTTTAAGTTATTTAAAAACGTTTTTTGATTTGTTTAATAATTCTTTTAAATTTTATTTTTATGTTATAATAGAATGAGAATGAGGTACAATTGGTCTGATAAGGCATCGATATCATAGAGGTTTTGGAATAGACATAATTTAAGATCTAAAATCGGAAAACCTCAAAAAAATATTATTATATAGAAGGTCTTCCAGTGTAAAAGGAGAAGGAATTCCATCGAAGGCTTGTATACAGTTTTTTTTTATAGAAGTCTATCATATTCTATCCTCTTTTATCTCTAAAATACCAGAACTTCTGTCCAAGTCTTATAAGAGGGCTTCTATCTATCGAAAAAAAAAAACATTTTATAAGGTTTCGTATCGATTGAATATCTAATGAAGGTATTGAATTTATTGAAGACATTAGGAAGGTGTGTTTTAATAAACCCATCTGCCAGATAGAAGATATATATATAATATTTTCTATTTGTAGTAGCTCGATAAATGTTATTCTGATTAAAAAAGGAAGGTTTTGATATATAAAGTCTTCTGTCCCCAGAATACCTATGGAAGGGGTTCCATCGAATACTTCCTTTAGGAGGCCTTCTATCTATTGAAAATAATAAAAACTTTCGTATGGAAGACATCAGGAAGGTATGTTTTTAGAATACCATCTAGAAGGCCTGCCAGATAGCTTTCATCTGAAATTTACCCATAGAATATATCCAGTGAAGATGACCTTCTATTCATAGGTGGGCTGTAGAATATATTATACATGTGGGAGACCTAGACATAGTCCTCAATATATAAATTTCTTGCTACCTTCA